CCACCATGCCCAGCTAATTTTTTGTATTTTTAGTAGAGACGGGGTTTCACCATGTTGACCAGGATGGTCTCGATCTCTTGACCTCGTGATCCACCCGCCTCGGCCTCCCAAAGTGCTGGGATTACAGGCTTGAGCCACCGCGCCCGGCTATTTTATTTATTTTATAATCAAGTCTTGTTGTGTTGCTTAGTCTGAAGTGGAGTAGTACAGTCCTAGCTCACTGCAGCCTCAAACTTCTAGGATCAGGGGATTCTCCTGCCTCACCATCCCAAGTAGCCTAGATATATATATTTTTTTTTTTCGTAGAGACAGGGTCTGGCTCTGTTGCCCAGGCCAGTCTTGAACTCCTGTCCTCAAGTGATCCTCCCACCTCAGCCCCTAAAAGTGCTGGGATTATAGGCATTAGCCACTGTGCCTGGCCTAAACTCCCAAAAATTTTAAATCTGTCCCATGTCAATGAATCTTTTTCTCAGTCTGTTGCCCAAGCTGGAGTATAGTGGGGTGATCATAGCTCACTGTAGCCTCTACCCTGTGGACTCAAGGGATCGTCTGGCCTCAGCCTCCCACGTAGCTGGGACTACAGGCATGTGCCACCACACCTGGCTAATTTTTTTGTTGTTGTTGGTAGAGATGGGATTTCGCTATGTTGACCAGGCTGGTCTCAAACCCCTGTCGTTAAACAATCCTCCTACCTTGGCCTCCTAAAGTGCTGGGATTATAAGTGTGCGCCACTGTGCCTAGCTTCTTTCTATCTTTTGGTATTAGAAACAGTAGTATAGTGAGAAACCTTGACCTTGTTTTCACAGATAGATGAATCTACCTAATAGCATTTTGCATCCATCCTGCAGGCTGGCTGCTGGCTCTACCAGGTTCTGTGCTGGCATCCTGAGCACTGCCAGGCACTTGACCATTGAACAGAAGATGGCAGACTACTCAAACAAACTCTACCTTCAGCTAGAGCAAGAAACAGGGATCCAAACAGGTAAGCAAGTGTCTGCTATTTACTGGTTTGCCTGTCTCCCAGACTGTTAGAATCGCTTCTGTATTTGGCCCTCTGCCAGGTTTGCCTGCTGCTGTGGTAATTAAGACTTGAGTTTTAGGCCAGCCTCTGCCACCAATCAGGGCAAGTCACTTACCTTGTTGAGTTGTCTTCACTTTCCCCATCTATAAAATGAAGGTGTTCAGTCAATATCCTGATCCTTTTCAGATCCTATAATTCTTGTCATATGAAAGTTTTCCTGGGCCGTTTCCTGTGTATGACTCATTGAAGCATAGTAAATGGCAACACTTGGCTCCTAAACAAAGAGGAGGAGAAAGAACTTCAGTTTAGGGGCTGGACAGTTAAATCATAGTTTGACTCGCTGAAATTTCACCACCTGCTATTAAGTATATATTTGTATTTTTTTTTGAGACTTAATCTCACTCCATCACCCAGGCTGGAGTACAGTGGTGCGATCTTGACTCACTGCAACCTCTGCCCTGCCCTGATTCCTGCTCCTTCAAGTTCGTGTTCAAGCAATTATCCTACCTCATCCTTCCCAGTAGTAGCTGGGGTTGCAGGCACACACCACAATGCCTGGTCAATTTTTGGATTTTTAGTAGAGATGGTGGTTATTCAGGCTGGTCTGGAACCCCTGACCTCAAGTGATCTGCCTGCCTCGGCCTCCTAAAGTGCTGGGGTTACAGATGTGAGCCATCGCAGCTGGCCTTAAGGATATTTTTTTATTATAAAGTGTAGACATGTACTTTTTCTTTTCTTTTTTTTTTTCCTTTTTTAAAATTTGAAACAGAGTCTTGCTCTGTCCTCCAGGCTGGAGAGCAGTGGCACGATCTTGGCTCACTGCAACTGCCACCTCTCAGGTTCGAGCAGTTCTCACACCTCAGCCTCCCAAAATAATTATACAGCTCACTGTAATGTAGAATCAGTGGGATTCCTGAGCTTATTTTCCTTCAACTAGATGGTCTCATCTGGGTGTGATTGGAAACACTGACAGATTATCAGGCATTAGAGTCTCATAAGAAGCGTGCTACCTAGGTCCCTTGCATGTGAAGCTCACAACATGGTTCGCGATCCTATGGGAATCTAATGCTGCTGTTGATCCGAGAGGAGGTGGAGCTCAGGTGGTAATGCTTGCTAGCCCACCACTCACCTCCTGCTGTGCAGACCGGTTCCTAACAGGCCTCAGACCATTACCAGTCTGTGGCCTAGGGGTTGAGGACCCTTGCTTTAAGTCATCTGTGGATTGTTTATAATACCTAATACACTGCCTGCACATCACTTCCTTCGTGTGGATTCAATACAGTACTTTGCACAGGGCATATTCAAGTTTTGCTCTTTGGAGTTTTGTGGAATTTTTTTTCCTGTGAATATCTTTTATCTGAGATAGATCTAATCCACTGATGTGGAACCCACAGTGTGGAGGGACAGCTGTATTCTCTGCTAATCTTCTGAAAATAGTTCTTTCAGGTGAGGTGTTACGTTAACTACTTTTTAATTCAAAATACCAGATCACTCTAAGATTTTCATTCCTTGACTATGCTGAATATTAGTTTCTGCAGTGCTTCAGTTTGTGTGTGATAAAATTTTTTTGTCAAGTGAATGGAATCAGTGTGACTATTTAAAAGTTCAAGTAATCTTTTGAAAATATTCCATATAATAGGCTGGGCGTGGTAGCTCATGCCTATAATCCCAGCTTTTTGGCAGGCTGAGGTGGTTTGATTACTTGAGGCCAGGAGTTTGAGACTAGTGTGGCCAACATAGTCACACTCTTATCTCTGTCAAAAAAAAAAATGTGTGGGCCGGGCGCGGTGGCTCAAGCCTGTAATCCCAGCACTTTGGGAGGCCGAGG